ACTTTTTTTTGGGAGAAAACCAAGTATTTATAGAGAACCAAAAGTAATCCTAATTTCAGAAGAAAACCAACTCTTTAATCAAATCTGGAAATCTGGGATCGCGCGGTCCGCTCGAGCTCAACACAGCCCGCTCGAGCGGACTGACCAAAAACTGCGTGCGAACAAACTGAGATACGCTCGAGCGTAGGAGAATCCACTCGAGCGTAAAATCACACCCACCAGAATTTTTTGCTTGCCCTGACAAAATACTGAGACCTGCTAATCTACGCTCGAGCTCACAAAGCTCCGCTCGAGCGGACAGAACAAAAACACAAAAAATTACAATTGAATCAACACAATGTTTTGTCTCCGGATTTGACAACATAGGTAGTACCTTCTCTGAAAAGCACAATTCGGGTTGGATTTACATCTAAACACTCATAGCCTCACTGAAATAAAAGTGCGAAAATAAATATAACTGAAAGGAGTTTTGTCAAACGGGATTGCCAAGAATAAAACCTAACACTGTGAAACCTCCAATTGAGTATAATCAAAAGAGGAAACAAGGAAAAGATCAAGAAATCATGAGAAGTTTCATGGTACTTACTGTTTTAGAGTCCCATAAGTGAACATTTCAGTGACAAAATTGATGTTCTTGTTTGCAGTATCAACCCAAGAAGTGTAAAACTTCATAATGTTGTGGTGTTTCAATGTCTCAAGCAAATGAATTTCACAGTAGAGCCTCTCAAGATCTTCAAGGCTTTGCAGGAAATCATAGAGTTTGATCTGGTTCCAAGCAACTTCAATCCCCTCATACTCATCAAATGCTCTGTAACTGCATCAATCAACAAAGTACGAAAACATATCCCCCAAAATCATAACTTCAAAAAGAAGCTCATTTCTTCAATATCATCAAGACCTCAATACCTCCCCAAAAAGTAGATTAACAACAAACACTCATTTTCTTGAACTAGTATTGAATTGGTTTGCTTAATTTTATCTGTGGGAGCATGAACACAACTCCATCTTTATTTTCATCATGTCTGACCAATTTCCATTAAGATTGCCAAAAGAGAGAAATGGAAAGGGAGAGATGAATCATTAGAAGTATTATCTCTATCAATTGTAGAGAAAAGAGAAGGCAACATTATATCTGATGCAATTAAGTAACAACATAATATGAAACAACATCATAAATTATATCTCAACCACCAAACAAGAAAGAGATATAGAGAGAAATATGAAGCCAGTAACTTCTATAAAAGAGACTCAAATTTTAGTCAGTCTTACCACTGCGGCAGCTTGACTCGCAATTTTGAACAACTATTGATAAGTTAAGCAAACTAAGAATGTCCAGTGATCGATTATTATTTTGATGCTGACTGCATGTCTTCATTCCATCAGAAAAGCTGTCTAGCCCAGTTGTCTGCTATTGTTGTTGCCGTTTTCTTTGCTCAAAATATTGCTTTTGGCTAGGACATTTAAAGTGTTTTTAATGTATTAATTTACCACATCTAACATTATGTCAAATTCTAACATGCGGTCTCAACAACAAAGAATACTGGTGCAGATGATCGTTCACTTCATTTCCAACAAAGAAAAATGACAAATGTTTATGTACCTCTTTTGTCGATCTTCTTGACTGAAATTTTCTCCATCTCAGCACAATCAAGAAATGTCATGCAAAAAAGAAAAAAGGACGTGCTCATATGTCAAAAGAGAAGCTCAACATAATCACACTAGATGCAATCTACAATGTCTTGCCCATGCACATAGAGCTCAAGTTGCTGATGGAAAACTGAAACATGAAACCTGATTTTTTTCATAGTCATAGGTAGAGTAGAAGTCTAGACGTTAAAGTTATACATTCTTAGTAACATGGGAAAAAGAAAGGGAAGTGCAGTAGCATCACAGCATGTCATAACTTATGAGGTCAACAAGTTAAAGAAAAACTAATGCTTCAAAATTTACCTTTGCAATACTGGCAGCTCACAGCTTCCCTGAAAATGAAAAAAAAAAAAAATCCAAATGATTTCTTTTATAAATTGTATATGGAATTGGCATGTAACCACCACAAAAGTAGATTAACAACAAACACTCATTTTCTATGAACATGGGCTGTCCTAGTTCAAGAACAAGAACAAAAAGTCAAGGTCCTCTTGATGATAGCAAGTTTACAGGTTTTGTCAAGATGACCAACAAAACTAATCCCTTCACTAAGAAAGCTAACAAATCAATCTCAATACACACTTATCAACAGCCACAGACTCTAGCAATTAATCTAAAATAGCTATCTGCTACAATTTTACATCAAGTTAGCAATTAAGAACCAAGCATTGTAAGAAGACCTCTTTCAAGCATTAGCTGAACTTGGCTGCCTGAAACGTAGAAGTGCAGTATAAATGAGATAGATTTTATTTATTTATTTTGTAAAAATACCAAGCTAATTAAGTTTTTTCTTTCATTCGGCAGATATATAATAAATAAACCCTGACGTTTCCACAACAGTTGATGATGAGTTGTTCTCGCCTAACTGGCAGTTGTCCATCATTGTTGATGTCAATGAATTTTTTCCATTATTAAAACAAATCTTGACATGAGCAGTTCCAACATGTTGATCAGACATACAACTCTTTCACAATAAAAGAAATATCCATATTGAATCTTTTGAAGATTGGTCTAAATTCAATTTGAACATAACAACATCAGAGTATATTACAAAAACTTATACCATTGGATATGCAAACCGTTTTTACACGAGCCATTACTTGCAATTATATGCTGGAAAAAAAAGTATAATCATGAGGTCTAGATATGAGTCTTGCAAATAAAAGCAAGGAAAATTTTATTGTCATTGTATTTTCCAATTTTTATGATAAAGTATATATAAAGTAACCGAGACTAATGATAGCAATAAACATCAACACAGACACTTCAGTAACACCCACTGATCACAACATGGAATTTTTTTTATTCTATAACTAGCCAAGAGAAAGGAAAAGCACAAGGAAAACAATGAAACAGGACATTTTAAAGATGCTGATTCCAAAAAGCAATTTATATCTACTTACTCTAGCTTGTACAAAGTTAGATTCATTTCTTAGCCCAATCATTTTAGCAATTTGATGCGAGTAGTCTTCAACACCATCAAACACAAAAGAAGCTGAACGGAATGAGATCTGCTCTTCCTCCAACATCATCATCCTGCATCCCAAATAAATTAAAAAGCAAAAATAAGTTCAGGACCTAATGCTATATAATTTTGGAATAAAGAAAAATAGCACTCCCCACTTACCTATTGGTCAAGCTTCCAGAAGAAAGAACTTCCTGTGCAGTAATTTTCACATTTGCAACCCATATGTCATCTTTTCCAGTAGGCCATCTAAGAGGAATCTTATAATTGACAGGTGGAAGAACCAAGCAATTTTGCCTTGATCCATGAGCACAATGGCGGTCATTCACACCATATCTCTCTCTCTCTCTCTCTCTCTGGATTTAGCTACACAGCTTCCAAATTTCAGAGAGAGGAGAGAGAAAGAGAGTGAGACAGTGATGGGTTCGTTCAATATCGATCCAATCACGACAAAGCTCGCTCATGAAAGACTATCCCCTCATCTACACATACATACACATACACATATATATTCTCTCTCTTTCTCTGTGTCTATATATGTACACAATTAATGTGACACAGTATATGTAATTTTTAAGTCAGCATTAACACGCTGTGCTAATCAGTAGAGCTCGATCCTAGCTGTAATTCTCAATTACTATTTTCCTAGCTCATTCACACCGGTAGAATGTAAAAGTCTACAACAGATACTAGAATCACACACTCATACAAAAAACAAACGGAACAAATATAAACATAAAGGCTATATTGTGGTGGAGTAATGTGACTTATATCTAAAAGTCTGCATTAACACACTGTGCTAATCAGTAGAGCTTGATCAGTAGAGCTCGATTTTAACTATAATTCTCAATTACTATTTTCCTAGGTAATTCACACTGATAGAATGTAAAAGTCTACAACAGATACTAGAATCACACACTCATACAGAAAACAAACAGAACGAATAGAAACATAAGCGCTATATTGTGGTGGAGTAATGTGACTTCTATCTATTTGATCAAAGTCATTTTCCTGTAATCATATTATGTAAATGTTTTCAAGACATTTGAAAACTTGGGAGAGAATGATGGAGAGGTGTGAAGCTAGCTACATCTAACAGCAGTGCAGTTAGAGTGGTCCTTGTGGACAAGAGATGCAGAGGAAGAAATCATTCCAACTTGCAGGTGAGGTGTAGAGGTACTATTGTTACCTAGTCAGTTTTGCAAGCAATAAACAAGAATCCAGTGTTTTCTAATCTTTGCCATTGTTATTTTGATACAAGCAGAGAACTAGCAATTGGGATTGTTGCATACCGTCAATATTATTTTCAACTGAATGACATTTGATTCAAAAATCTTTATTGTTTTATTTAAATTTTATATTTGATTCTATAATCAGTTTCCATAAATAGAAAAGATATAGACACAAACTCTCCCTTCATCTGTTGCATGGATTATGAAGACCATATGACTTCTTATAGTGTCCAAAGATTGCTAGAAGAAAATGGCAAGAGACAAGGACTACATCAACATAAATGATGGTAATGGACACAGATCACATTGGAGGTCCCATCATCTTTACACTCACTTTTTCTTACTTAATTGATACAAATTGGTAAAGACCTATATATTGAGATAGTTCAAGCGTCCACCTTATGTCCATGTTGCAAGAGAAATCTATATTTTGAAAGACTTCATACTTTAAAATTTTATTACTGAAATGTCGTTCTACCACTAGAAAACTATATTAAGAGGCTTTTGGCCAAATTTCTATCGACATTATCAAGCACACTTAATTTATTTTCTAAATACATTCAACTTTACATATTGAACTAGGCAATCAAACAAATTCTAATCTCACTATTTTCTTAATTATTATTATTTCTTCTTCTTTACCCAACGGGACTTTACTCAGGCCCGCCATTATCAGTCAAATTGATCACTCGACATTTAGATCTATTTTAGTTAAATATCAAGAAGCATTTCTAACATTAATCTATTATTTTCAATTACTTTCATTTCAAATTCTATGGACACTAAATAAACTTCAGAATCAACCACAAAGAATAAGTAAAATAATCTGAGTGTATTTGTTTATTGTAAGAAAGGTCTCACCATTTGATATGTGGAGCAATCAGAGTATACTTATCTAATGTAGGAAGGATACCACCATTTGATATGAATGATCAAATATTATTTTATATGATTTGTTCAGTTTTTAGTTTTGTTTGAAGACCTAATCTGTCTAAGCCCTAATAAGACCAATGTGTGAACAACTTATTAGACCAATACACAAAAAAGAACTTGAGATATGATATAACACGTGAGATTAATTTTTATATTTTGTCCTATTCTTTCGAACCGCTAGAATTGTAACATAGCACCATAGTCTCCAAATGAAGTTAGTTGTGTCCTACACTCTCTCAAATTATATTTTATACATAATTATATATATACCAATGTATAACCTTTGAAGAATCTGTTAGTGAGGAACCAACAGATACACAGCAACACTACAACAGATCAAGCAAAAAACAGCAGCTAACAAGACAGCAGTGCTAGCAGATACAACAACATGGATACACAAAAGCAAAAAACCATCAGCTATCAAAATGCACCAGACACAAGCAGCTCCAGCACAGATATACCAGATTAGCAAGAGCACCAGAACAAGCACTGATGTAACAGTAGATACACCAATGTAACAGCATACCAGAACACATATACAGCAAAACAGAGCACAGGTACACCAGAGCAGCACACAGATACAGAGGCACCAGATTAGCAAAATTTTCCAGATTAGCAGATTAGCATAAAATATAACTCTAAATTTTCTATCATGTTTATATTAGCTTCATGTAGATGATTTCTATGAAATCTTGAAAATGAAACTTTCTATTTATGTAGCTTCATGTATAGAGAGAGAGAGAGAGAGAGAGAGAGTACCGATTAAAGTTCAGACACAAAGTAGACTATTCGCCGCCATTGGAGCTTGAAATGCAAGTAATCGAGGGGTCAGAATTCAGATATGAGCTTCTGGAAATCACTGAATCTCTGAATCTCTATCTGAATCTTCGATGGAGCTTAGATCTGAATCTTCGATGGAGCTTAGAGAGGGTTGAGAGAGAGAGAGAGAGAGATGTGCGCGTATAAGGGCTGAGAGAGAGAGAGAGGGCTCAGATTAAAATTAAGGTTTCAAAAAGAAGGCGCTTTTGGCTACCGCTTTTGGAGGCGTTTTTAAACGCCTCCTATTATAAAACAATGTCGTTTTGTTTAAAAAAATGTGCAGCGTTTATAAAATGCCGTTACATATTAATAATAGTGAGGTTTAAAAAACTGTCCTTAAAAAAAGCACTATCATATCTCCTTTTTTCCAGCAGTACATGGAGTATTATTCTTATTTTTTTATTTCTAATTAATCAGTACTAATCTCCTGGGATGTTGATGATTCCCACTTTGTTTAGTGCTAGGGTGGTTGGAATCGCTATTTAAGATTATAGGATGGGACATGAGTTAAAAATTTGAACATGTTTATTAAATGAATAAATTGTCTGCTTTGATTATATATATATATATTTAACCAATTTGAATACACCCATCAAGCTTTGAACTTGTAATGAATAAATTTTGAATAAATTATGAGGAGAAGTGGTTTTGGGAATACTCTTCAGATCCTCGGGGACGCTCTTGATCCTCTTCTAGTCACCTAAAGAATGAACACTCCGGTCGGGGGTACCGGAATTAGCACTCCGACGGACAAGTTAGTCTCACACTCAAGATTGCTTGTATTCTAAGTTAAGCACAATAATTTTTGCATCCCTTTCTCAGTCTGCTATTCCTCTATTTATACTCGTTCCCTGTGCCTCGGGGCAAGGCCCACTTTTCACTCATTATCCTTCTATTCCCTCGACTCCATAGTTCAATAACTATTCAGCCTATCTATCCATTTTATTTAGCGTCCTGAACGTGCTGGATAGAGCCGATAGTATCTGATTGGAATATGCTTCTAATTCTTTTTAATATTCGGCTCCCACAATTGCCCCCCAAACACCCCACTAGCATCATCTAGTCAGCGTGGTTGGCTTCTAATCTGGGGAGACTAAAATTTGGCAGTTAATCCTCTTCCCGATGCGTGTCGGGACGTGTATCCGTTTTTTGGTCATTATAACACTTTCCCGCCTCATTTGTGCTTCTCTCGCATTTATTATGATTTGAAACTTAAGTCCTGTCGAATACATGCTTTTTCGAATATTTCGAACCTTCCGGACTGCCAATCGGTATTTCTTCTCTGGCGTTTTCTGCAACTCCTATGCGTCTTCTCCTTGTCTCCTTTGCCTTTCGTAAGTCTTCTTCTCTTCTCTTTGCAATCATACTTTCCGTATTTATTTTTTGATTTAGAATATCCTTGAGTCCTCACTAAAATGGCTAAGCATTTGAAAGACCTCCTCTCCGAGGATCGAATTTCTGGGTTTCGGAGACATTTCTCCATTCTTGATAATGTCCATCTATCTCTAGTAATGGACAATTCCCCTAATATGAAGAGGGACGACCGACATATAATCGTATTTCCTCTCCTATCCATTACGGAGGGTGGAGTTCGCTTTCCCCTACATCCATTTCTTAGGGCCGTCCTCTAACATTGGGGTCTGATTCCCTCACAACCCAATGTGAATTTCTTTCGAATTGTGATGGGAATCGTAGAGT